GCTTTCCGGAAGGCCTGGAGAGAGGTGAGGGTCCGAATATCCGCGGGGAGCTCGTTCCAAAGGGCCAGAGCTGCCACAGAGAAGGCCCCACCACGGGTGGTAGCCAGATGGCATTGGCTGGTGGACGGGACCCGGAGGAGGCCGACCCTGTGAGATCTAAGGAGAAGAGGGGCTGGGGGAATCTCCCTGCCTGAGGCCTCAGCCGTCTCTCGCCTCCGACATTCCTGCCGGGGTCCTCCTGGCACGGAGCCCCTTGGGGTGGGGGAGAGGCTCTGGTGCGGGGAGACTCCTCCATCCCTTGGTGTCCACCTCAACCACCAGGAAGCGTCGGAGGAGTCTCCTTGGGGGGTAAGAAAAGCCTCCGAGAGGCTACCTGGCTCTTCCCTGCAGCTGGCCATGCCCTCTGCCCCACCCAGGCCAGAAGTGAAGGGAAGGCCCCTCCGTGAGGCTTCCCCCATGGCCCCCGGCCCCTCTTAGCCCCCTCAGCGGAAGAGCAGGCCACGCACAGGGGCCACAGTTCTCCAGCTCCAACCCCAGTCCTGCTCCTGAGGCTTGCCTGGGCCCTGGGGAGCCAGTGAGCGGCCAGAGCTGCCTGGAGGGGTGCCAAGGACACCTGGGGCCCCCCAAAGCCAGCCTACCAGGTGGGGAAGAAGGAAGGTGCCACCCAGCCAGCCGTGCAACCAGAGGCCGGTGCTTTGTGCCACGGCGGCTGCCTCTACAGTCAAGGGGCAGAGGGGAGAGGAGCCCAGCAAATCCTCTGGGTCTCCTTTCCCTGCAGCAGAGGGATGGGGAACCAGCTGAACAAGGCCCCCTCCTCCCCTCCTGGCTGGGCCTCCCTCCCAATCTGGGGCTGTGAAAATACTGCATGTAAAAGAGTTGGCAATTCTTTATTTGTACCCGCATCACTTTTACAGAGAACTCAAAAGTTGCAAACCCCTCCTACTTTCCCATAAGCCCCGCCCTGTGTGGTGTGGTGGGTTAAAGGACCTTCTCCCGCCAGAGTCTCAGGCCTGGGAGTCCGGCCACCAACCCTGAAGCCAGCAGAAACTGAAGGGAAACTGAGGAAGGACGGGGGGGGGGGGATGCCCTTTGGGGAGAAGAGGGGGGGGCAGCTCCTGGGAGGGGCCCTCTCTTTCCTCCTCTCTCCCCAGGAGCTCCAGGTTGCGCCTGCGCGCACACACTCACTGGCGGCAACCTCTGCGCTGTGTGGACTCAGGAGCTCCCTGGCTGTGTGCCCCCCACCCTCCGACCTTGCCCAGCCTCCTCAGCTGGCTGCCTGGCTCGTGACCCTCTGGTGGCTGGGAATGGTCAACAAGAGGAGAGGAGGTCCCAAGGGCAGCCCCTCCCCCAGCAGCTGCTCTGGCATGGGGGGGGGGAGAGGATCTCATCGCATTGGTCTTGCAGCCCTTCTGGCCCCTTCCAGGAGGTTTGGGGGGGGGGGTCGGAGGGACGGAACAGGCTGGCACATGCCAACCTTCTCTGGACGTCCTGGGGCCCGGGGGGGGGAGGGGGGGTCCACGGACT